TGTGTTACTGGGTGGTGGTCCCCTCCCTGGGATTCTTTACTCTTACTTTAAGATTGTTTTCTCTATTCATGGAATCCAATCAACTCAGGGGAAGTACAAAGCCTTTTCTACATGTGCCTCTCACCTCTTAGTTGTCTTCTTATTTTATTGTACAAGCCTAGGTGTGTACCTTAGTGCTGGTGCTACTCACAGCTCACTCTCAAGTGCAACAGCCTCGGTGATGTATACTGTGGTCACCTCCATGCTGAACCCCTTCATCTACAGTCTAAGGAATAAAGACATAAAGAGGGCCCTGAAAATATTTCTCAGATAGTATCTATTAAAAAGGGCCATTTTTCAAGAGTGTATATGATTACAGGCATCTAAACCTCTGAACCAAAAATTGTGATTCTTGAATCAGATTGCAGATGTAGAATTTGCTAAATCTCTTTATTTTCTGGAATTTAAATTTCTTTTATCTCAGCTATTTATTATATAGTTTTGTTAAATATAAATCTTTCTGCTATGTGATATCAAACAATTTTTCTTTGTCATTTTACTGTTTCAATGTTTATTCCTAAGCTAGCTTAAGAAACAATTTGGCAGTCAGTGAGTGCTGTACTGGTTAAGGAACTGGAGTCCCAACTGCCTGAACATAGTTCGAGTCCCAAACCCAGCCGTTTGAAACTCATGCTGGGCGCATGCGTGTGTGTACCCAAAATCCTGAGAGGAGCTTGGATGAGAAGGGTTTGCAGCGTGACCATCTCCCCAGGGGGTGCTTTCTCACTTTCTATCTCTCTGTCTCTTTCTGTCTCTCTGGAGAGCGTACACGCTGTATAACAAAAATTGTGTGTGTGTGAGATTGTGTGTGTGTGTATATATATGTATATATATATAAATTCTTAAGAAAAAATCAATTTAAAATTTTCTACTTTTCTCAAACAAGCTGAATATCCTTCTTCTGAAATGCTGAAATTTGAAATGCTTCAGAATCTGAAACTTTCTGAGCACTGACATGAAGCTATAAATGGAAAATTTGTACTTGACCTCATGTGATAAGTCACTGTACTACAACTGGGACCAGCAGGTGGTGTTGTGGTTGAGGTGCTGGACTCTCATATGGTTGACCGTGGTTTGAGTTCTGGACTTGGAGGTTTGAAACTCAAGCCAAGTATGTGTGCTTGTGCGTCCAAGATTCTAGAAAGAGTATAGAGAAGGGATTGCAATATGGCCATTCCTCTTGGGAGGGGGATGATTTTTCACTTTTTTGTCTCTGTCTCTGGTGAGTGAATGTGCCGTAAAGCAAAAACTCTCAAAAAAACAAAACAAAACACTTTAATACAGCAAGGTTGCTTTAAAATTACCCTCAGGATTTGTGTATTATGTGTAGATGTAACGTAACTGAATTTTGTGTTTAGACTTGAATCCAGTATTGAAGATATCATATTATGCTTACTGAAATATGGAAAAATCAGACAATAATACCTGGAATGTGAAATCCTTCAGGTCTCAAGCATTTAGGATAAGGGAAATACAACGTGGGGCCCAGCAGATGGTGTATGAGTTATGCTGCTGGACTCCCACACAGACAACTACGGTTCAAGTCTCGGACCCAGTGATTTGGAAATCACACCAAGTGTGTGTGCGTGTGTGCCCAAGATCCTGGGAGAAGAATGAAGGAGGAGGGATTTCTGCGTGGCCATCTCCCTGGGGGGCAATTCCTTATTTTCTCTCTCACGGTCTCTGTCTCTCTCTTTGGTGAGCACATATACTGTATGGCAAAAAACTCTAAAAGTATTCAACCTTATCGTGATGAGTTGTATTAGTCTTATGAAACAAAGTATGCTTGGCAACTACAAGGTTTTAATATAATTTTATGGTAGATGAATATCTGAGACTACAGATTTTCATGGTGCAATGCTCATTTATTTCTATGTAATTACCTTAACTACTCTTGCTTGTAATGAATAGTGTATTTTTTAGTTAATGGCGGAATTTTATTCTTCTCATTAAGTTCTTGTTCCTTTTCCAGCTCTATAGCCACAATGCCTATTTGATTCCTTGTTAAAGAGTAGGAAAGAAAATTGCTGATCCAATATATGTTTCAGGTGGTCTACATAGAGAAACATGTTTGCATGAATCAATTGACTTAAAATGACCTCCATGTCAGAGATGATCCTAAATATAATGGAGTAACATTTTCTTTTCTTTTTTTTTTTTAAATCGCCATACATATTTGCTCTATGGAATACCATTCAGCCATAAAAAAATAATAAGACACTGGCATCTGATAGAAAGTGGTTGAATATGGAAGATTTATTGCTGAGTGAAGCAAGCCAGGTTATAAAAGAAAGATATTGTATGTGTCCACCTAATATATACCGATTATCCACACTCTATGGTAGAGATTGAAATACTGGAGGGCATAAAAGCAGTGAAAATAGTTATGGATGCTGAAGACACTGTGGAATGGGGGTGGAGGAAAGAAAAGAAAAGTATAGAGAAGAATAGCAAGAGAACAAATAGGCATGCCGTTTGTGGGACACAGAAATGGTTTATTACCTGTGGGTGATAACATGTATAGTATTCTCTACTGGACTGATCTGAGAAGAATTTCATGTTGGGTAAATTCTCTTGACAAGTCAAATGATGTATAGTGATTGAATGTTTAAAAAATAGTGAGAATAAATAATAATAATAATCATCATCATCTAAAAAAATGCAAAGCTATTTAATGATGATGTGGATAGTAATGTCTTTGTCTTTACTGATATGTATGGTAATCATCCTGGAAAAAGAAATGTTACACACTTAAAGATATATGTGATTAAATTTAGTATAAACTATAGTATTAAATTTAAAAAGAAAAAAAAAGAAAATCACACCAGAAAAACAAAATCACCATACATATTTACAGTGTACAAAATGATTTTCCTAGTATGAATAAAGTGCAAATAAGTCAAATCAAAGATAATACATTATCAACATTAATATACATTATCACTCGGGCAGCCCTCCTTCCTGTTCTTCTCTAGTCACAGACTACACCAAAGATGTCTGACTTGTCTGAAATTCGTCACCGGCAGAAGCTGACACAGTGGCAAAGCAGCAGCAGCGTGAGCACAGAGTCCACTTCTTGGAGGCTCACTCCCTCATCGGTCCCTTTTCATCAGAGCACTTCACTTCTGCAAGCAGCTGAGGTTACTTCCCAGGCGTCTACGGCCCAGACAGCGATGAGATTTCTCACTGTACTAGAACTACGCTACACAGCGGATCAAGTACTGCAGCACACAATTTCTGGTGACTGACTTCGCATCCTAACAGCTGCACAACGCCACGCTGCAGGCAGGCAAGACAAAACGGAACAAGGGCTGCGTGCTTTCTTTTTTTTTTTCCGATTTATTTATTTGCATTCATTCACTATACATCATTACAATATACAAAATGAGATTTTCCATCCAGAGTACACTGTATACTGTCTCAATCAAGCACATCAACAACAAACATGTTATTGTCAGCAGATGATCTTCCATTTCTTGTTTTCTGTATGCTTAGCTTTTTTCCCCCCCCATCCTTGATTCCCTATCTCTTACCCTCTGCCATCTCCCATTATCCTCCCCACTGTCTCTGGTATCTATGTTTGCTTTCTATACTGTTTCCCCCCCACATTTTATTGAATCACCAAAGACCTTAATCAATCCAAATACCCTCATAGCAAACATTAAACCTTCTGGGAGTGTGTGCAGAGGCGGGCTCGTCATAACAGAGCAGTCACATTCTAGCAAGTTCTTTTTCTCTAAATTGCAGCCGTTACCAAAACAACCTGCTGGGCATCAGTGCCCCTGACAGACTTTATAGACAGACAGCAAACCTATGCACACGAAGGGCAGTTTCAGCTCCATGCGACCAATTCTAATCCCTTACAGTTCTCAGCCCTGCAGCAAAGACTGACAACCTCTCTGTATAATTTCTTCCCAGGGCAACAGTTCCCTACAGGAGAGCTCATCTGGTCTGGCTTTCTGTTACACAGGCTTATTAGATATTCCAAAGGTGGACTTATTCAGAACAGGACTCCAATTTCTAAGCTCCTTCTGTGGTACATGCTTGCATTGTGAGGAGGATGACACAAGGAGACATGCTGGAAGTGCTGCCCCACCACAAGGACCTGAAATGAGCCTGCCTGGAAGGCCATTTCACTAGCCTAGATACGGAACTATCTGCTCTAAGCAGTAAAACCAGGCAGCATCCCATGTACCGAGCTGGCAGGCTTTGCTTCTCTCCTCCTTGTCCCAGTTTTACTCCCCTGGCTGCTTTTCTCTGATCCTGTCCTAACTTCCAAGGAAAATGGATAATATAAACTCCATCCTCTTGTCATTTCTGTTCAGACCTTTCTTTCTTACCCATTAACTTTCTGTTCTGGAGATGCTGTGACCTCACTGTATTTCCTGTTTATGCTATGTCGAGCTCTGCAGGGTGTGACAGAAATGGCGTGCTGACCAGGACACAAACATTCAAATACTGTCCCACAGGACTGAGGAAACTGGCGTGTTATAGGAACCTGAAATGTAGTCCCAACAAGGACACTCAGTCTCTCAAGTTTAAGGCAGCAAAGTTGATGTCAAATTTCAAAGTGAGGGCTAAATTTAATCACCTTAATAGCCAAGTCAAAAATACAATCTGTTTTTATTACATCTGAATTACTGAGATAGGCGATGCTGTTATCACATACTGAAGTAATTAGTCTGAAGTATGAAAATGATGGCCCTAAGGGAAGAAAGCACTGACTTGAAGTTACCGTCCTTTCGATTCAAGTGGACAATGAAGGACACTCCAATTCCAAGTTCTAAGCATGAAATCCAGGGATGTCACGTTGTGAACTCATTCTTCTATCTGAAGGTGAAGTTGGCGGTTGATGACAAGAATCCACACCATAATGGCACAGCAAACCACAGCATGGTGTCTCAGGGAAACAGCCAGTAATGTTATATTTGCCATTTCTGTCTTGGTTCATTCACAGCTGTTCAGAATCTGGGTTTCTGAAGGCTTTGTCAGCATTTAACTAATTCTTTGTTGGTTGAAGGGGCTGGGACTGATTCTCCACACATAAACTGATCTTTGTCATAAATAACTTTTATAATGAGAGAGCAGCTGGGACACGTTGCCACATCTTCCCCATTCTCCAGGTCTTCCTTGGTGATGGAGAAGTTGTCCCCACAAGGGCAGGGGTAGAAGTACGTCTCCGAGTCTTCATCGTACTGGAAGTCCTCGATCTCCACCTCATTGTAAAACACCACCATGGCCCCCCCAGTCTGGCCAAGGGCTAACGCAGCCACCCCACGGAAGCCCCTCGTGAGTCCAACGTCACGGGCACCGACCCCGCATGGCCCCGACCCAGCGTAGCCCCAACCTGGCGTAGCCCCGACCCGGTGAAGCCCTGACCCGGCGTAGCCCCGGCGCACTGGGCCTCTCAATTTCTTTATTTTTAAAGAATTATTTAATTTTATTTATTCATTCATTTATTTTAATTTGACCAGAGCAAGACAGAGAGAAAGTGAGGAAGCAAGCCATCAGGTCTGGAACTTGAACTGTGGTCAGCCATGTGGGAGTGTCCAGTGCCTTAACCACCATGCCACCTGCTGGTCCCCTCAATAATCAATTTCTTAATTTCTTTTTACTTATTTATTTATTTAGAGGTTTTTGCCCTAGGGTGTGCACAGTCGCCAGAGAGAGAAAGAGAGAGACCGTGAGAGGGAAAGCAAGAAATCACTCCTCAGGGGAGATGCCCATGCCACAATCCTTTCCCCTCCATTTTCCATTCATCTTGAGCACTCACACACACGTGCCCAGTGTGTTTCAAACCACCAGGATTAAGATTCAAACTGTGGTCGGCCATGTGGGGTCCAGGAATGTAGCCACTATGCCATCTGCTGGCCTCTCTTCATTTCTTTTATACTTCAACTCACTTCCATCTTCATGATGAAAAAAATGATAACTCACATAAATTTTTCAGTTTTTCTCCAATATTGCCCCTGAGTATAGAGACTTGTGTTTTAGAGTCACAAATTAATACTGTAAAAACACACATGTTCCCCTAAATTGTCTTGGTAATCTAAAAAGGAATCTCAAAGGTTGTCTCTTTTTAATTCAGTTATCATCAATAAAAATGAATATTCAGGTACTCAAGAATACTGCCTTCAATTATCTGAAGAATTACCAACAAGTAAGAAGCATCAGATTATTCTGATTGTCTTTAGTTCTGTTGCATAGATTATTGTTACAGTGAGATATTGCCACATAAGAAGTGATCTCAATAAATGTTTTGCTTTATCTTTCCCTTTGATTCCCTCCCTCTTACCTTACATTGTCCACCCTCCTCCCACACTGTCTCTAGTATCCACAGCTGCTGCTCTCCATGCTTTTTTTGGGGGGGAGTTTTTTATTTTGTTTGTTTGTTTTTTGCTATAGGGTGTGTGCACTCACCAGAAAGATAGAGACAGAGAGACAGAAAGTGAGAAATCACCCCCTGGGGAGGATGGCCACACTTCATTCCCTTCTCATCCATTCTCCTCTCAGGATCTTGGGCACGCACGCACACGCGCCCGGCGTGAGTTTTAAGCCACCAGGTCTGGGACTCGAACTGTGGTCAACTACATGGGAGTCCAGCGACATAGCCATTATGCTAACTGCTGGTCCCTCTCCATGCTTTTATACCTTGCAAGTTTTCAGTTTCTTCCTCACTGTATATTAAGTGAGGACATACAATGCCTCTTTTTTACGGACACAAAAATGGAAAATTATCTGTTGATGATAATGTGAATGGTAATGTATTTTACTGGACTGACATGTAGTGTTTTTATGCTGGGAAGATTCACTTTGTATGCTGTAGAGATATACAGTGATTTAATGTAAAAAAATAATTAAAAAAAAGACATTCCAATAAGTGGTTTAACATCATTCATTTCTGCTCTCTGTATGGGTCCCTGAGAGGAGGCTCCCCCAGTTCAAGACCACATCATGCTATTTTCTTTCTTTTTTGGGGGGAGAGGCTTTTGCCATAGGGCACGTGCACTCACCAGACAGACAGAGACAGAGAGACAGAAAGTGAGAAATCACCCCCTGGGGGGATGGCCATGCCACAATCCCTTCTCCTCCATTCTCCTCTCGGGATCCTAGGCATGCACACACACACGCCCAGTGTGAGTTTTAAGCTACCAGATCTGGCACTTGAACCACAGTTGGCTACATGGGAGCCCAGTGACATAGCCATTACACTATCTGCTGGTCCCAATGTGCTATTTTCTTGAAACAGAGCAAGGCTAGACTCATTGCTTGTCCCAAAGAAGACTTTCTTTCTTTCTCTTTTATTTTATTTATTTTTAAATTTAATTTTCAAATTTATTTATTTTACATTCATTCATTGTATATCATTATAGCATACAAAATGAATTTTCCCATCCAGAATACACTGTTTACTTTAGACTTTTCCCATATGGCATGTTCACTCACTGGAGACAGACAGAGAAAGAGAGAGAAAGTGATAAATCACCCCCCAGGAAGAACTACTCCAAAATCCCTTCTCCTCCATTCTCTTCTAGGGTTTTGGGACTGCACACACATGTGCCCAGCTTGAGTTTCAAGGCTCCAAATCTGTGACTCGAATTATGATTAGCCATGTAGAAATCCAGTGCCTTAAACACCATGCCACCTGCTGGGCCCCCAAGAAATCTTTCTGATGTCAAAATGATCTTAGCAAATGGGGAATTGGGAAGTATTCTAAATAGCTGCTATCACATCAGTATCTGCTCTGTGCCAGGTAATTTCCAATGATCTTTAAAATAATATTTCTCACATAAACTCTCTAAAGTAGGTGCAACTTCTAAAAGTTTCATTTCCAATCATGAGAAAAGATTTCAATAAGTGAGTATAAACTAAACGAGAGTCTGAGCACCAACATTTGAGCACCAAAATCCAGACAGGAGGTATTTGGTAGGACTTTTGTAGGAGCTACCCTGAAAATACTCTATGACTGAAACTGATTGACTAATGGTTGTACAAACACAAGAGATGGGTGTGAATGTCAGATGAGGTGTATATGGAGGAATGGGGCTTAACGAAGGACATTTGGAGAAGGGATACTGAGGTAGAGCATTGACTGGATAGGGAAGTGTGGTGTTATCGGTTGAAGATATTTTGATCAACAGGACTGGGGAGAAATGTTCACATATTGAAATGCTCACATTGTAAGCTAAACAATGCGATTGAATGTATATACGAAAAGAAATAAATTTTAAAAAATACACTGAGCCACCCAGTTGGTTGGTGGTTAGAGTAGCTGTAACCCACACGGTTGATTGCAATTCACATCTCAGACCTGGTGGCTTGAAAAACACAGTGTGTGTGTGTGTGTGTATGTGTGTGTGCATGCCCCAAATTCTGAGAGAATAAAAGAGGAGAAAGGATTATGACATGGTCATTACCCGTGGTGGGGGATGATTTCTTACTCTTCCCCCACATCTCATGTCTCTGATGAGGGCACATGCCCTACAGTAAATTTTGTAAAAATTAAAGAGGGACCAGAAGGTGGCATAGAACTAAGGTGCTGGACTCCCACATGTCCTGCTTTGGTTTGAGTCCTGGACCTAGCAGACTGAAAATCACACTGGGTATGTGTGCATGCATGCTCAAAATCTGAAGAGGAGAATGGAGGAGAAGGGATTGTAGCATGATCGTCCCCCTAGGGGGTGATATCTCACTTTTCCTTTTTTGTCTCTCCCTCACTCTCTCCAGTGAGTGCACAGGCCCTATACCAAAAATTTAAAAAATAAGAGAAACAAAGAAATGAAAACAAAATACTTACACCTGACTCTGATACAATGCCTTGATCTGTGTACAGTGGTTTATAGGGCTGACTGGGCAACATCAACATCAACACAGACATAGTTCGAAATGCAGAATGTCTGAATCCCTCCTAGGCTTCCCAATTCATCACTAAAATTGATGAAGATCCACAAGTTATATACAGTGAAGCTGGAGATATTCTAGTCCAGGGCAGTGTTTCTCAGTCTCTCACTGTTGACATTTGCCCTCTATGTGTCGTGGGGTGTCGTGCACACTCTGTTTGCTGAGAACCATCCCTGGGTTCAACCCACAAGGTGCAAGTTCCAACTCCCCAGGTTGTAACAACCAAAATATCCTCCAGAAATAATTTCATTTCTTTTGGAGACACAGTCAATCCAGTTGAGAACCCTGGCCCAGATCGTGAGACCTGGAAGCTTCCTGATGGAGTGTCAATGAAAGTTTATCTCTTACTAGGTTTATACATGTTGGCAGGTTAACCTCTTTATTTAGATTTTTTTTTTTGCCATCATGTATATGCACTGGAGAGAGAGAGA